GATTCCATACCCTTCTAAAGGAAATAAGTGTCTTTTAAGCACAATTGTTGGACTACCCACCAAACCTGAAATCTTCCATTTCTCCAAACCCATCATTTCCAGATGGGTTAAGATTCTTAAGGATCCTAGGATACTCCAGCATAGTAACAGTTAACTGAATTTAAAGGACCGAGGACACTAACTACAGTTAGTCTTTGATTTAAATTCATAGGAGTAATAAGTTTCAGAAGAAAGTTCTCAAATTGTCAGTGACCTCACCCTCCTAACCCCATAGGGTACACAGTTGTTCTGACATTGTCTGCTCCAGTTCCCAGATATGCCAGAGCAAGTTAGATTGACATTTCTATCTTAATTAAGAATTGGCCTTCCTTTTGGAGGGTTTAAATACTGGCTCTGGATGCTGGCAGAAAAGACATCCTCCTTCAAAACATTCTCTTTAGTACTTTGATCATGGAGTTGTCATTTTTCTCTTCAGTAAGCTGTTTTTAATAAAACAGAATCTCATCTTAGTTGAGTGGAAGGTTCACTGTGAAAATACACTAGTAGGGGTGAGTGTTACAAACAGGCTGCCTTAACAAACATGAATGAAACAAGAGTATGGAGTAATTTAGGGGCTTCTTCCACTGGGGTCTGCAACCATGAGTTATTTTCTGTTGTCTTTAAAAAAGATGATCCTTTTTAACTTTATCTTCACGTAGTGTGAAAATGAGGAGGAATTTAGAGAGATCAAGAAGACTCAGGGAGAGAAAGAGTGTTCTTCACGACTGACTGCATTGGCCAGCAGTACTTCATCAACAAGCCATTGCCATTTGAACACCAATAGGTATGTGTTTTCCTTTTGAGTCTGAAGTTGAGCCACCAAGGATAACAACTGTTTCAAAAGATGCCCCTACCCACCCCTTGAAAGAAGTAGAAGTTTTGTGGATATGATATGTTGTACATATTTTCAGACTGCTTGGTGTATTGATCAATGTGTTGATTTTGGAGGTGTTTTTCCTCTTTTTTTAACATAGTATTTGTTATGTAGGAGCTTCCTTCCTTCCTTTTTTCCCTTAATCCATCCTTTCCCTCTGTCCACATAGAAAATCATAGCCTTTCCTGTGGGTGCCCTGCCCAGAAGAATATAAATTTTGATTGCTGAAACCTAGCAAGATATGTTGGGGTTTACAGGCTAGATTTCTTTTTTATGGACCTTGTCTTAAACCCAAATCACTCTGACTGTCGTTGATTGGCAAACAGTAGGTCCCAGCCCAGCTCTCACTTGGTTAGTGTTTGGATTCTGATGTCTCAGCAATTATTTCTGTTTTGGCCAGAAACCCTGAAGGTCTTCCCTTTCCAGATTGATTTCTCCCCCCACCCATCCCAACTAGGTAAAAGAGGCCATTCTTTGCCTCATTTTTACCTAACTTTAATTACCGAATGGTTGTTGCTTCAGTCAGACTGAGACCTGGGAAAGGCCAAGGCCTCCCACTGCATCGAGGGCCATCTCCAGTCATCCTGATCTGGATTTTGCCACTGCATCCAAATGGCTCCAGAGGAGAGGGTGAGGTTGATGACTTTACACAGCCCTCCCTCATCTCATTCCAGTTCACTTGCAAGTCATGACATCACCTTCCTGATTTCATGGTCCTCTTTGAGAACAAAGGACAAACAACAACCTGTTATGTGGGATGACTCTCAGAGAGAGAAAATGGAAAGGGATACTGGGAGAACTTTTAGTGATGTAAAAAAAAACCCCAAGATATCAATTTTAAAAAATGTTAATGTAAAGTTAAATTTTAAAAAACTGTATATCATATCATGGCCAGGCCAGGTTCTTAATGGATAGACCCAGGTTGGAATTCTAAATCCACTTGGAGTTGAATCACAGAGTTGTAGTTAGGTGAGGGTTACTATTTGTCTCGAGTGACAGTATACCATACTAGTGCATGGCTGCTTTTTCTGTGATGAAGGGATAATTATTTTGCCCAAATGGAATTAGTTTGGGACGTACAATTTTGTGTCATTCATAAAGCTTCAGATCTCCCCCCCCCAGCTCTAATGTGCCAGTAATTAATTTTTTAACCATTCAAATAATTATAATTATATAACATACACTTTGAACACACCATAGAGCAATTACTCCCAAAACTTAGGTAAAGGAGGATCATATATGACCCAATGGGATAGTAATGTCTGCTGTATGTGAAGATGGAGGCCAAGAGAGGTATTAACGTAGCAGGGTGAGAAACAGGTGTTTGCTTTTCTCAGTTTTATTTTAGAGCATTCAAAGTGGCCTCAAGACTCCAGTCATAGAATGGAGAGAAGACCTGGAGGATGTAAAGGAAAGAACATTGGCTTAGAGTTAAAGTTCAGATTAAAAAAGTCTTTTGATTAGTCAAATCACATGGAGAGAGGGTAGATCAAAGGAGTTTGTCAAGAATGTTGACTTAATGAATTTGTGCTGGGAGAGTGAAAGTAGAGCACCTAGCTAAGTTCAGAACAATCGAACCCCAACTATTCATCGAACTCTTGTCTGAGACGCACTCGAGGGATAGGATGCATATAAACAGGATAAAGGGCAGCTAGGTGGCAGAGTGGATAGAGTCCTGGGCTTGGAGTCAGGAAGACTCATCTTCCTACAGTTGAGATTTGGTCTTAGACACTTACTGGCTGTGTGACTCTGGGCAGGTCGCTTAATCTGGTTGCCTCAATTTCCTCATCTGTAAAATGAGCTGGAGAAGGAAATGGCAAACCACTCTAGTATCTTTGCCAGGGTCATGAAGAGTCAGATACAAGTGAAAATGACTGAACAACAAGCAGGGTAAGAGACAGCAGAGGGATGCCAAAGTACACAGGAATCGGGAAGAATTGAGTTCAAATTTGGCCTCAGACACTTAACTAGCTGTGTGACCCTGGGCAAGTCCCTTAACCTCTATCTGCCTCATTCACTTCATCTGTAAAATGGGGATAAATAATGGTACTCACCTCTCAGGGTTGTGGTGAGGATAAAATGAGATGATAAGTGTAAAACACTTTGCAAACCTTAAAAGTACTATATCAGTGTTAGCTGCACAGCTATGGATAGGCCCTAATGCCACAACACACACACCCATATGCATAGACAATATGAATATCAGCTGAGTGAGCTGTGATCAGAGCCATATTTTGTCTCATTGGCTTTATCTGAGGCTAATGTTTTCTGGGATCCTCCTAGTTGTTTTCAGAAAAGAGTGTTGAGAAGGGGGAGCTATCAGGTTATTAAAAAAAATGGGCAATGGAGTCAGAGGACCTGGGTTCTAATACTGTCTCTGTCGCTTACTACCTATGTAACTTTTAACTTCCCTGGGCCTCATTTTCCTCAACTATAAAATGAGAGAGCTTATGCTAGCTGTACTTTTGAGATCCCTTCCAGCTCTGGATCTACGAGCCTGTGAAGTCAGGATTAGTTACTGCATTGAAAGGCATAGAAATCTATGATCCCACAGAGTGACCTAGGGTACAGTATGTATGAGTTCCTGAAATAGATAGCACATAACGAGTTTAAAGTTCTTGCCTACAGGTAATGAAGTCCTTTGGGAACTTTAGTAATACTCCCTTCTTTCCTTGGATGGGATCTAGGATGGACTTGCATTATACTGCATTGCATCCTACTGAGAATAGTATTCTAGGGGTGTCCCAGATTATGTACAGCAGATATGATAGAAGTTCCTGCCCACTTAGAAATACCAAAACTTGGGAAACTTTTCTGTGCTAGTATTAAAAGACTCTTCGGTCTCCCCGACTGTGTGTAGGAGAATTTTTTAAGGGAGATTAATGTTCACAACAACACATAAAAATGTAAACTGAAAGGTTAGAAAAAGATGGAAAGCAGTTTTAAAACTTGAAGAAGAAATTGGAGAGCTAGGGAGGCAGGGTGGGGGAAGCACACACACATTGCCATAAAGCTTTTTTCAGGAAGAAGATTGAAATTTTTAGATAGGGCTGAGAACTGGGCATGCTAGACTTGTCCTCATATCAGCATATGTTTAGCTCATGACATCCCAGGTGAATGCTTCTTGGACCCTATTTCCCTGAGTATAACTGAAAAGGAAGTTGCAATAATGGCTATTTTCTGAAAGTGGTTATCATCAGGGAAATCTTTTTTCAATATTGTAGATATAGAAGCTAGCTTAGCTTAAGTACTTCCATTTTGAAAACTGTCCTTCAATAGGCT